CGTGGAAGAAGTATTTGACTGTTTTTTTTTTTTCTTTTTTTTAATCTTCTATTTTTGAGCACGATCGTCGCAATTATTTTAAGTGTTCTATTATGCTTTTCCTTCCAGTAGTAGTCCACCGCATCCCCGACAAAACGCTCCCCAAGCATTCCTTCATAACTCCGTTGTATACCGCATAAAGTTCCACTAGTTACGATTCATTATTTTTTTATAGTATAAGAGCCTCACGGCAAAACGTCACGCACAGCTTCGGAGGTATAAGATGCACCACGTCCATCGTTCTCTTCTCGTATTCCTCATACACGTGTCATTGATCCCTGTAGTGGTAGCACCATTCTTACACACTGTTTTTAGTGTTTTATCCTTCCTATACGCGCTATTTCTTTCTCTTTTACCGACAATGCACCTACGACACGCCTCACAAAAGATAGCTGGACCAACTTAATATTCTTGCTGGACGCCTTAGTGCTTGAGAAGTGTACATCGATTTAGGCTGTGGCGATCGTAGCGCACTTGTCCTGTGCGTTACTACACAAAATCAGGGTCCGAATTTAATTTAAGGACGCAAGGAATGTGGGTTGGTGTAGGCACCAAGCGCCCCCCAACAAAAATGGAGCAAATTGGAACGCGTCCCCACCCCCCCCCCCCCCCTCCAATTTAACACTCGGCGCCTTGTCTAGCAACACTGGAAAAAACAAGTTGTTCCAGCTGCCCGATAGATGGAGGTACCATACCTTCAGAACGCAACTTTTTCCTCCTTACCATTTCTCTCTTTCTCTTCCTCTTTCTTTCTCTTTTCTTTGCTCTTTTTCCATAGTGGTTCCTCAAAACCTGTTTGTGAACTTGTGGCAATGGAGCGAGCTGGTTAAGTTACGGTGTTAGAGGAGAATAATAACATAGAGGACGAAAACCGATTTTCACCGTCCTCCTCGCCAAACGTCTTGCCTAGAAAGCAGTGTCACAAAACCGGACCAGTAAAGCACACTTTTTTTACAAGTGGTTACTCGCATTCAGCAACTTTTCGAAACTTTACTCGTATTTTCGTCGCACTTTTCTAAAGTATAATTTTGTTACTCTATTAATGTATCCATCCCCGAGCCCCCCCATGTCAACTGGAACCTTCAATTTTCACCTTTGCTGCGCCTTTGCTACCCACATTACATCTCGCTTTGTCAAAGTCCAAAAAACTAGGATCCAATATTTGGCATCTAAAATAGTATAAAACAAGGCCTTCTTAAAAAATCGCCAGGTACGATAAAAAAAGCACATGCTCATAGTCTCGGGGTGTTAGAGTATGTCTAAAAGAAAGTTTACAATGTAAAATAATAAGAACCCGCGACAGAGTAAAGGAGGGGAGTCTTACTTGCAAAACGGATACTCTTAAATAGTTCGCGCGCATTCCGCCTATTAAAAAAATAAAAAGCAGATACTGACATTTTGCTTGGCGTAACGAGCGCCATGTGCACAACTGCTATTGCCATATTCATCCTAGACAACATTAAGTTATTTTAGAACCCTTCAGTATATTAAAACTTAATAAAAGTGCTGGTAACTTTTCTATATTCGAGTAGGCATATTGTTCTATCAACTCTTTGCACAGGTTGTCCTCCCTTAAAATTAAAATATATTTTCTCAATTATCAAAAAATAATTATTTAACATTTGCAATTTTTCTATGACAGCTGAATTAAAAAAACCACACAGTTAAAATAAAATTGGTTTTGCAACATCGAGTCGCCGATTTTTGCACTTCGTTCTAAATTTTAATCTCCCTTTTAACTTAATTCTTTAACATATTTACCTTTGATTATTCTTCCGTTTTGCCATTACTTTCAACCCGCCCCCTCCCCAAACGAACACTCCTGATCTTCCATGAACCTGAATTTTAGAGACAAAACAATACGTGTATGTCGCAAAAACGAAATTAAAAAAAAAAAA